TCCAACTTGTGCACCAAGTGTTCAAATGTGGTAGAATGTTCCTTGGGCTCAATTTCATAAATGATGTCATTGGTCTGTATGACTCCCCTGAGGCCTCCGAAACAGGTGCTGAGGACAACAAGGGAGGAAGTCATTTGATTTATAGGGGCCAGTGTCTGAAACACAGAGTAAGGCATCTGGAAAAATCTAAATCAGAAAAAGCAAATGGCTTATTCATATTTATTTTATGTAAATGCTCAGTTATGTAGCAAATTATTATTATTATTATTAAAGATGTATTTATTTATGTATACAGATAGGGCTACTGACCAGAGGCCCAGGGGTGGTGAGAGAACTCATGCTGAAATGGCTTTAGCTTCTTAGTGCTGTGCTTTAACCTGCTTTGCCACCAGGGAGGGCCGCAAACTATTTTTAATTGAGGTCACATTGACTGTCATATCTGCTGGTATGTGGAAGTATAGAATTCCCACACACTGTCCACATAGGTGTTACGCCCATAGTGAATCCACCCTGAAATCACAGCTCACAGTGAAAAACTATGAATTTTTTTCAGAACATCAACTTTTTCATATCCTCTCCTAATTGAAAAGTGAAAATGGATTACTTAGGAAATGTGACAAATAAGTTACTAAAAACTTGGGTTTCCAATTATATTTACTTTTTCTCCTCCTGGTTTTTAAGACACACAACTTAAGTCTATCAATGTTTTAGGATGAATGAATGATGTATTGCAGCCATCAATTTACTGAACTTACATGTTTATATTTTATGTATATCTGGAAATGTTTAGTTACAGTAAAAATTATGAAACACAGGAAAAAATTAACTCAAGATTATAGAAAAAACATATCCTATCATTCAGACCACTCTGATTTCATCTTAATGCCTGCAGCTAAAACCATAAGCTGTAAGTTTTCATAACAAAAAGGACAAATGCAAGAAATCTCTACAGAAATACACACTATTATTGATTCAATTATCTTGGTAAGGATTTTTCCTGGAATAGGCATATTCTCTAGTGCTTCTTAAAATGAACTGGAGAAGAATGAAAACAAACATTTATTTCTTAAAATCTTTATATTCAAATTATGAAAATCTACTCAGTAGAATGTCTGGGTTTATATAGCAACACCAATTAACTTTAATGAGGATCAAGCAATGTTCTTAGCCATTTCTTTACATCTTTTATCTACCTACATTTACTAACACATAATAAATATTTTTATAATAACTTCTAGAAAGAACTTCTGGTTCAGATAAAAAAAAGTTTTGGTTCTTTTGGTAGTTTTACTCTGGTTTTGTTATATTTCAGAGTTTTATCAGCAATATTATAAATATTATAACTACTTAGAGATTACCTAGTTTAGGTGGGTGAGATTGTGAGAAAGAAGCTCACATTTTTGAAAAAGTCAATTTTTTTATGTGTACACCATTATAAATTTTGCATACCTGAATATCATGTACTTGGTATTTCAAAAGAAATTACATTTGCTACTTTTTTAGTGAGCACACAAATATGTCTAATTAAATACAAAATATTCAGAATATGATGTCATTAGATGGCTTAAAGAACTTCATCTAGTTGTATTTTTTTTTTGATAGTTTAACAAATCCGTGAAATACTGAGAAGAAACTCTATGTTTATAATATTATATCCTCAGACTTGAAAATAGATATCCTCTATTTTGAAATTATTTGATTCAAATACTGTGAGCCATAATCTGGAACCCTGTGACCAAAGTTTTTAAAAGGAATTCCCAGAACCTTACCTACAGTAGTTATGCTACTTTGTTATACAAAAAATAATAATAATTAGATGATTCCAAGTTTTTGAATGTCAATATTTAACCTCTTTTGATTCATTTTGTTATTATGATTTTTTGGAGTGATGAGAAATTTTAATTTTATGAATCAACCTTTTAGCACTGGTTGTTTAGCAACCTTTGTGTATCCCCACTATGAATACAACCTCCACAAATTTAATGTTTAAAACCCACTCTGTATCAAAACAAAATCATTGCCTGCATGAAATTTCAGTTCTTGTGTTATTTCCTCATCTGTTAATCTACATTTCATGGGAGGGACTATTGTCTCCTCACTGTCCAACTTGTGCACCAAGTGTTCAAATGTGGTAGAATGTTCCTTGGGCTCAATTTCATAAATGATGTCATTGGTCTGTATGA